CCCCCCCCCCCCCTTTTTTTCCTTTTGGATAACAGATACAGACGTCGTAAAGCTCAGTAAATAATGGGCCACCCTCTACCTTTCTCTTGTTAAACAAACTTAGTTTACCAGTAGAATTCAAAATTGTGACGAGTGCTTATAACACATCCCTTGTTGTGTTACATTTGATATTGAATTTGAACCAAAGCCTTGGGGTAAGATAGATCCAGGTTGTCTTTAGCTTAGTGCCTTAGTAAAACTCAATAATCCTTCTGGATCAGTAGTTTCTGAGAACCAGTTTGGGTTTATACCGGAGCGTTCGACTACAAAAACCATCCACCTCGTTAAGAGATTGATGGAGCAGTATAGGGAGAGAAAGAAGACTTGCATATAGTGTTCATCGACTTGGAAAAGGCGTACGATAAAGTTCCAAGGGAGGTTTTGTGGAGATGTTTAGAGGCTAGAGGTGTACATGTTGCCTATGTTAGGTTGATTAAGGACATGTATGATGAGTAAAGACCCGAGTGAGAATGGTGGGTGGGGACTCGGACCATTTTCCGGTGATGGTGGGATTGCATCAGGGGTCGGCACTCAACCCTTTTTTGTTTGCTCTGGTGATGGATGTACTGACGCGCCACATCCAAGGGGAGGTGCCGTTGTGCATGCTATTTGCAGATGATATTGTATTGATTGACGAGACGCGAGACGGTGTGAACGCGAAATTAGAGGTATAGAGACAGACCCTGGAATCTAAAGGTTTCAAGTTAAGCAGGACCAAGACAGAATACTTGTAGTGTAAGTTCAGTGGCGAGACTCAAGGAAGGGAAGGGGAAGTGGCACTAGATTCGCAGGTCATTCCTAGGAGAGGGAGTTTTAAGTACCTTGGGTCTATTATTTAGGGGGATGGAAAGATTGATGAAGATGGGCGTGATGGATGAAATGAAGACTCACTTCCGGTATTTTGTGTGACAAAAAGGTGTCACCGAAACTTAAGGGTAAGTTCTACAAAGTGGTAGTCAGACCAATGATGTTGTATGGGACCGAGTGTTGGCCAGTCAAGATCGCTCATATCCAGAAGATGAAAGTAGCAGAGATGAGGATGTTGAGAAGAATGTGCGGGCACTCCAGGTTAGATAGGATCAGAAATGAGGTTATTCGCGACAAGGTGGGTGTGACCTCTATTGAGGACAAGATGCGGGAAGCGCGACTTAGGTGGTTTGGTCATGTAAGGAGAAGGAGCACAGACGCCCCGGTGAGTAGGTGTGAGAGGTTGACATTGGAGGGCCTACGGAGAGGTAGAGGTAGGCCAAAGAAGAGGTGGGGAGAGGTGATTAGGCAAGACATGGCGCATCTTCAGCTGACCGAGGACATGACCCTTGATAGGAATGTATGGAGATCAAGGATTAGGGTAGTAGAGTAGGTAGTCTAGAGTGTTCATAACAGTAGTATTGGCACGCAGTCTCGCTTTCTGTTAGTAGTAGGTTTTTATGACTAACCGTTATTTTCTTACATTGTTGATCACCTTACTATCTGGTTGTTTTTATTCTGTTTTTATATGGCTTCTTGGTACTGTCCCTTCTTGTCTATATTTTCATTAATGTGGTGCTTATACTTTCCTAAGCCGAGGGTCTATTGGAAACAGCCTCTCTATCCTCACAAGGTAGGGGTAAGATCTGCGTACACACTACCCTCCCGGCCCCCACGGTGTGGGATATTACTGTGTATGTTGTTGTTGTTGTTGTTGTTGTTGTTGATGATCAGTAGTTGCAAACTAAAACATATTCCCAGCATCATATATTAATATAAGAGAATAAACAGTATGCTGCTCATTTTTATCTTCTTTGCTTTTGTCTTCAATTGGATTATCAGAAGAACCATAAACTCACAAGAAAACCTAAAAACAACGGCTATTTCCAACATTTCCTACTATAAATGCATGTTACCCATGTTAATAAGAGAACAATCAATTATGCCATATAATCATTATGCATCAGACGAGAATAACTAATCTGGATATAAGATAAAACAATTTTATTGATCAACAATACATTGCGACAAAAGCAACAAGCAATAACAAGTGTATACTAGCACCAACCATTACTTGAAAATCCACACTGACCTTTGTACCAAAAGGACCCTCAGGAAAGTTAATGTCAAGAAGTTCCCTTCCCTAAAGAAGCACACATCAAATGTAAATTTCAGTCACATGTAGCAACATCTATCAAAGACATTTGAATTAATATACCTAAATATCTCAGCTAAAAATGCTATAAATACGTAGAACGTCATAGATAACTCACTTGGAGCTCAGCTTCAAGCTCTTCGCGCTCATGACCAGTTGCAATCGGCATTACATCCTCCACACTCTTCTTAACAACATTCTCTGTTCCAGACAACAAATAATCCAGCAAATTACATAAGCCACGTATATCAATCAAACAATCCATTAAGTATCCTCTATATCCATTCGACTCTATTTAAACACATAATTTTGTGTAAAAATGCGTGAGATCTGATGAAATCAGGGCTCGGAGTAGAGAGAAATGTGTAAGTATACCGGACGCGGCAGTGAAATGGCGAGAGAAGGACGTGACCGATGACCGGAACGCCGCCGGAGACGGAGATGAAGAAATCGACGTGGCGGCGGCGGATGGATGGGACTTAGGAGTGGATCGAAGTAGGCGTAGGGTTCGGAGCTGCGAAGAGAGTTTTCTCCACATAGTGTGTGTTCTTTCCTCAGGTCAGCCCCTTTTGCGTCTGTAGATCGAGAGACGAGAGTTTTTCTTATCACTCTCTTTGTTTCGCTTCTGTTCTCTCCACAACTTTTTTGGAAATGAAAATGGCAAATAAGGGTGGCACTAGCCGAAGGGCGACGGCTTCGGCCAAGGTTGACTCGCTCGTGCGAAAATTCCTGCCACGTGTGTATGATTTTTCTCTTTTTTCTCAAGTATTACTAGTAACTTTTTAGTAATTCTAATAAGGACACTCTTTTATGGATACTAGTCTTGTTGTATGTGCCTTGCACGGATTTATTGCATCAATAATTAAAAAGTTATTGATAAAATATATTTTTATCATATTAATATTGTGTTTTAGTCGAATAAAAATAGTTTCGATCAAAAAATTTAAACTAAATATTAAATAATGTGTTAGCACATGAAGTTGCTTCGTATTTACACAAAATTATAATTTTGGCACAAAAAAAAGAGTTAGAGCTTATACTATTTAAAGAATAATATTTTACTTTTCAATTTTAATTTTTTATAAGTTATTAGGTCTTCGTTGTTTCCCTTTTTTTTGGTCTTCTTGATACGTTTTTTGTCTTCTATCTTTTCAACTTTAATTTTTATTGCAACAATTTTTACAATTTCATATAACTCTTATACAATTAAACGTCTTCCAACCTGATGCCCTCCATTCATTGTATTAAGTTTGAAAAGAAAGATAGAAATTTTACCCATACTCATGACTATTTATAAGAAAATTTATTATTGTTAAAAAAAAAATAAGTTAGGTAAAAGTAAGAACTACAACAACAACAAACCCAGTAGTTTTCCACCAGTAGGGTTTGGGGAGGATAAGATGTGCGTAGCCCTGCCTCTCCCCCCTGGAAGGGCAGAGAGGTTGTTTCCGATAGATCCTCGGCTAGAGAACGACTGAAAAGAAAAGGTAATTGCAACAAGTAGGAATAACAACAAGATATAATTGCAACAAATAGGAATAACAGTAAGATAAAATAAGATTAAATCCAAGAATGCAGTCAAACTCTAGGTAGTAATAGTCATTTATGGATAAAAGATATCATACTAACACTAATGCTAGCGAACTGAGTAAGACAAAGAGAAATGCTTGACTACCTACGAACTTTCTACCCTAATCTTTGACATCCACACCATCCTGTCTAGGGTCATGTCCTCAGTCAGCTCCAGATGCGTCATGTCTCGCCTAATAACCTCTCCCTAAGACTTCTTAGACCTACCTCTACCCCCTTGCTACCCACCGAGGCTAACCACTCGCACCTCCTAACTTGGGCTTCTATACTTCTCCTCTTAACATGCCTGAACCATCTCAACCTCGCCTCCCGCATCTTATCCTCCACATGGACCATTCCCACCATTTTTCGAATAACTTCATTCTTAATCTTATCCAACCGGGTGTGCCCACACATCCACCTCAACATCCTCATCTCAGCTACTTTCCGCCAACACTCTGCTCCATACAATATAGTCGATCTAATTACAACCTTGTAGAACTTACCTATAAGTCTCAGCGGCACATTCTTATCACACAAAATACTGGAAGCGAGCCTCCACTCCATCCATCCTGCTACGATACGATGTGTGACATCTTCATCAATATTCATGTTACCTTGTATTATAGATCAAAGATACTTGAAACTACCTCTCTTGGGGATGACTTGAGTATCAAGCCTCACCTCTATATCATCTTCCTAGGTACCGTTGTTGAACTTGCACTCCAAATATTCCGTCTTGGTCCTGCTCAACTTGAAACACTTAGACTCTAGGGTCTGCCTCCAAACCTCCAGCCTCTCGTTAACACCACCCTGCGTCTCGTCAATTAAAACTATGTCATCAGTAAATAATATACACCATGGCGATCACCTTGAATGTGTCTAGTCAATGCGTCAATCGCCAAGAAAAATAGGAATGGACTAAGAGTTGATCCCCGATGCAACTCCATCATAACCGAAAAGTATTCTGAGTCTCCTCCCGCTGCCCTAACCCGAGTCTTAGTTTTATCATATATGTCCTTAATCACCCTAATGTAGGCTACTAGGACCCCTTTAGCCTTCAAGCATCGCCAGAGCACCTCTCTCGGGACTTTGTCATATGCTTTCTCTAGGTCAATGAACACCATGTGCAAGTCCTTTTTCATCTCCCTATACCGCTCCACCAATCTCCTCACAATGTGAATGGCTTCCATAGTCGAATGTCTCGGCATGAAACCGAATTGGTTCTCAGAAATAGACACACTGGTCCTCACACTCGCTTCAACAAACCTCTCCCAAACTTTCATAGTATAGCTTAGCAGCTTAATCCCCCTATAATTATTGTAACTTTGAATATTGACCTTGTTTTTATACAGAGGAATCATCGTACTCCGCCTCCATTCATCGGGCATCTTCTTCGTCCTAAAAATAATGTTTAACAGCCCAATGAGCCACTCCAAACCTGCCCTACCCGCATTCAAAAGTAAGAACTATATATATATATATTATAAAAGTTAAATGATAAGATGATATAACTTTTTGAGAGATTAATTCTATTTTTCTTCTTACTATCGCAACCAACCAAATATCATGTATCTTCAAAGAATGCAGCATTATTACTCATGTTTTATTATCTTTGATATCAAACACCTCATATATTGGAATATATCTAGAAAGTCATACGTAAATAAATTATTATCGCATTTACGGATATATCATAATGAACTTTTTTAATCATGGATAATTTTAAACTCCTAAATATTAGGACTTAAGACATAATTCAATTGAATTAAATTCTTTTGCTAATTAGTTAATTAAAAAAGTAACTATTTCTTTTAAACACTAAAAGAGTGATTCTTTACCTTTTCAGGTTCTTATATTAGCTCATCCCACTTTTAAAATATTTGGTTGTAATTATGAAGGAAAATAAAAGTACTTTTCTTTATATTATTAAACTTTTCAATAATAACAAAATAAAGGAAAAACAAAAATCAGTAAAGTACTAAGAATTAATATGAGAAAAAACAATAGTTGAACTCCACAAAAAATGTGGCAAACTACAAGAAGTTGCCGGCGAAAGACTTCGAGCACCAAGCGCTTGAAAGGGAAAAAGAACAAAAATTTCGTTCTTTTAATTCAGTTTGGATCAAGTAAGGTAAGTAAGAATTTTTATACGGTAAAATTTTAGAGATTATGCATATATTATACGTGAATTGTATATATATTATACATTCGCCGGCTATTTATAGTTTGAGAGATTAGGTGAGCGGCTATTTGAGTTAATTTGTCAAAATTTTAATTGATTTCAAAATCTAAAAATTAGGAGAGTAGCTTAACTTACTATTTCGTCCAATATAAAATCTATTTTTAAAGGGTAAAAAATACGAATTGACATTTCGTTAAGGGTATTCATACTTTTAATATAGTATAGATTACAATTAAAACATATTGATATGATAATTAAGTATTTTAGTTGAAACGATATACTAACTACTAAAGTGTCGTTTAGTACGCGGACTAAATTATCCCGAGATTATAGTCATGGGATTATAATTCCTAGATAATTAATCCTACATGGGAGGTGGGATAAAATAATATCAAGTTTGATGGGATAAGGTAGAATAAAATGGGATATTCAAGATTAAGTTTGGGACAAAGTTTATACTATGTTTGCATGACGATATAAATTTATCCCGGGATAAATTTATACCGTCAATCAAACATAATATAAATGTACCATACTTTATCCCACCTTATCCCGCGTACCAAACGACCCCTAAGGCCTAATGGTTTATGCGAGTGCGATCAAGAGATTTAATTTGACTTAATGGTATAGCCCAAAGAAGGAAATATTGCATATACCAGAGGTATGCCTCTTTCTCAATAATGTTAACTATATTC